ATATGATATTGTAAAGTTTCACATCGGTTGAAGAGGGAAACGAAACATTCCATGTAAGGATGTAGAAACATCTCTTTAGTGGATGCGTTTTAAAACCTTAATGGGAAACCAAGAAGGAAAAGCCAAAAATGACAATATCTGTTAGCAATGGACTTGAGCTGTTACAAATTATATTAGAGCTGAACATCGGACGGTGTTCTAGGGAGGACGATTGGAGAGGGGAACAATAGTTTGAAAACGTATAAATGATATTATTAATTAATTTATAAACACGTTTTGTATTTAAAAAAAATGATATAATTACTATTTTACAATATATTATCATTTATATATATATATATATATATATATATATATATATATATATATATATATATATATTATATTATATTTTTTATTTAATAAAATCAATTGAATTTATAATAGGAATATCTATATTTATTAAAGTTTTTTTTAAGATCAAAATCAAGATATAATAAGAACATTAAAAAATATATATATTATTTTCAGAATTTGTTTTAACAGTGGTGTTGTTTAATTTTTAAATTACTCAATTTTTTTCATATTTTATTTTTATTTAATTTATTTTATTCTTACTTTATTTATCTTCGTTATGTTTTTTCGTCACAGTATGAGATTCGAAACTTCAAAAATTAGATCTCGAGACTCAAAACAACCTTTTGCAACACACAATTGAAAGGAATAAATTCCATTTCACTTGGAACCAAAAACATTATGTTTTGTTTGGTTTGTTTTCTAAAAACAAAGTATAAAAATTGCTGTTTGAAGTGACTTTGGAATGACAATGGCTACTCTCACACTGTGTATTGTCAGTTAATCTTCTACATGTTTCTTTTTGTTTTGTTGTTATGTTTGGAACATGTCTAGGGTAGAAGGTAGCCATGTAGGGCTCAACGCTCAAGATTCGACCGTTCACAACGTTGAATTATATAAAGTACCTTTTAATTTGATGGTCGAATTAGTGAATTTCATGAAAATATTTCCTAAGAAGTGTTCGTCGATGATTCATGGAGTTAAAAATGAACATGAAAATCGCGAAATCAGGAAATCAGCTAGTTCATTTGAAGTGTTGTCTACAACCAAGCTAGAATGCCAACACGTGTAGCATCTTGATGCTACGACTTGGGAAAGTTCCGTCTAGCTTGATTACATAGATTGTCTGTAGATTGTACTCAACGAAAAAAAAAAGTACCTATTTTTTAGATTTCGACCTTAGCGTAGGGATGATATTTATGGCATCTTGTTGGGATCTCAAAATTTCAAAAATAGCACGAATATAGGGTACAACGTCGATATGTTGTCTCTAGCATCTCGATGTTGTCTCGATACCTTATAATTAGTTTTTTTTTTAAAAAAAAATTAAGTCGTTAAGAGGAGCTATTCGGATAGTAAAATTCTAAACCCGATTTGTGCACTTTGTAGAGTTTTGAGAAGATTTTCGAAGAGTCAAAGAAGAATTTTTTATGTTTCGGAGGGTGGAATGGTGAATGACGAGACTTGTATTAAGATGTTGATGTGTAACAATATACTAGTGTTTTTTATGAGCTGAATTGACAATCGTTCGTTTTCTTTCATTCATTGTTGATATCGTGGCTTAATCAATCACCTATAATTCACTTATTAAAACAATAGTTCATTAATGAAATCAATTCCCTACGTTTTGTTCTTGATTTAATTCTATGGGAATAAAATTTGGCGTTATCGAAGACACTTCTTTACTCGATCACTAAATTAAAATTTGATATCAGACTCTTGCGATAGAGATTTTTTGCTGCACAATTACATCCCTAGACAATAAAGAGTTTCATTTTTTTACTTAGCTTGAAGTGTTCTAAAAGTGAAAACTATCCCTACAGACCAACATGAACCCCTTCAACGTGTTTTGTCTTCATTCATGTTCTTTTACGATAAAATGTATTGAAAGGACATGTATCAATTTATGAGGATAGTCTACTCTTAAAACAATTCAAAACAAGCAAGCAACGTGTGGAAAACTGTTGGGTCGATAAGTGCCAATTATAGATTCTAAATTGTAACAGTCCAAGTTCACTGCCAGTAGATATTGTCTGCTTTGATCCGTTGCATATCACTGTCAGCCTCACGTTTTTAAAACGAGTATGTTAGGGAGAGGTTTCCACACTCTTATAAGAAATGTTTTGTTCTCCTCTCCAACCGTTGTGAGATCTCACAATTCACCCCCCTTGAAGGCCCGACGTCCTCGAGACGTTGGCACACTACTCGGTGGATTGTGAGATCCCATATTGGTTGAAGAGGAAAATAAAACGTTACTTATAAAGGTGTAGAAACCTCTTCTTAACAGCTGCGTTTTATAATCGTGAGAGGCATAATCGGACCATTTATTTCCAAATGATCCATCAATTTGACTAGCCAATATTTCAAAAAGTAGGCATCTTTTTCAAAATAACAATAATGATAACAATATCAAACGTTTTCTTTTTTAGACTCTAACTTTTTCAAAAAAAAAAAAAAAAAAAAAAAAAATGATTGTCCAAGAAGCCTAGAAATTAAATGCCTTACCCACCTTTAGTTAGATTGAGTTATGTTTATTTATTTAATTAAATGGATTCAACAATTATTTTTTTTGACAATTTATTTTTTAAAAATAATATAGAATTATGTGATCCAAATAATGCAAATAAAAAAAAAAAGACTATATATACATACTTTTTTTTAATTTTATAAATAATTTTTTTAGTTTTTATAATGTAATTTTCTTGAGTTATTTAAAAATAAATAAATAAATGTAGAACATTTTATTTTTTATTAAACAACGATTTAGATTAAGTATCCAACGTTTTGTCTTTTCGAAACACGTCCTTGTGAGGAACTAGAAAAGCCTCACTCACAATTTAGATTGTTTTACTTTCATTCTGGATTTCCGTTATTCTCTTGAAAAGATTTAAAACGGGAGTTCAAAAGGGATCATAGCAAAGTAGATTAAGGACAACACTCCTCATCCTTCTCACGAAACACGTTCTTACAGAGGTGGCACAGGAGGACCTGAAAACCCTTTTCGGGTTGAGTTAGTCTGAAAAAAATTTACTATTCAAATAATTAGGTTGAGTCTAAAAAATGCCTCAACCCAATCCAATCCAACAAACTTTGAATAATTATTGTCCCGTTCGTTTTGTAAACTGTGTTAGTCGTGCTTTAAACGCTTGATTGTATTTGGTTGTTTTAAATTCAATGTACTGTTTGAAATGATGTTTATTAAATGCACACACGAATTTAATAATTTTAAATTATTGTATATTTGTAACTATTTCAAATTTATGAGTAACGATCCATTGCTTGAGTCGCTCGAAAAATCGCCACGAGCAAATGAGAAATGAAAAGTGGTGACCAAAATATTGAGGTTTGATACGCTTCATTACTTTATTGATTTTTTTAACCATTGAGCTTCATTAATACAAAGGAATTGATTACTTTATCATTATTTTCTTCTTCCAATTGAATGCACAATTTGGTGATGCAAAAAAGCTTAGGATGCTCATGGCATTTATTCTATAGAGATCCAACAAAGTTGCCATTAAACTTTGTTCAATTGTAGTTGAATGTGATTAAGACCCAATTGGCATCCTAAGCAAATCCAAGATTACCCTAAAGCTATAACTATTCCTTCTCGAGCCTCGTGGTTCATATAAGATATTGAAAACAAATATCAATCTAGCTAATCGAAAATTCATCATTGGAGTAGGAATCTTACAGAATTTCATATGAAAATTGAGATTTGTAACAGTGTAGTGATCTAAATTTCGTTACAGCTAGGTTATCGGTATAACGCTCCTAATCCCTATTTCTGTTTGAAATTCTTGACTCTCAGGTTTTCAAGGGTAATTTTGAAACTTTTGAAAGTGTTCGTGTATTTTTTAAACAAATGACGAGATTCGTGGATACTGTTTATAATTTAAGAATATCAGCTTATACCTCTAAACTTATCACTTACCGTCACAGACTAATAACTATATTAATTAAAAACCTTTAATTTGATGTGAGTTCTCACATTGGAAAGTGAAACGAAACATTTTTTGCAATGGTGTGAAAACCTTTCTTTAGCAGACGCATTTTAAAAACCTTGAGGGAAACTCGAGAGGAAAAGCTTAAAGAAGACAATATTTTCTAGCGATGGATTTGAGTTGTTACACTTTCGTAAATGAATAAAAAATTTCACACGTTTATTACTAGATATCTCTAGTAGTATCTTATCTTCTTTCTTGCTACTTAATTAGGATAGAGAACATCCTTTTTATTTGGTGATTTTAAACGAAAATAAGCATAAACCAGCAACGAATGCACTGATTCACTCATGAAACGTTAAGATCTATCCTCGACTGCTTGAGAAAAATCATGTCCTAACCTTTTTTTTTTCGCTACTTGATTAAGATGTACGAGAGAACATTCATCTTATTTGGTGATTTTGAGTTGATTTTAAACGAAATCAAGCAAAAACCAGTAACGAACGTTCTGATTCAGTTATAAAACGTTAAGATCTAAATTGATAAACTTATTAGCTTGAGATCTAAACCGACACCACCAGGACAACGGGTCCATAAACATATCATGTTTCAAGCTTTTTGGGTGTCTCCATCTAAACCTAATGTCCACCTCTTTTCACCAAAAGAAGTACCATTATAACTTCTCTCTCTCAACAATTCAATACAACAATAATTAACACCAAAAACTCAATTAATTACCTCTTCAACTCCTTTTTGGGTTAAAACCAAACACAAAACATACTCAGAAACCAAAGACAGAACATTTTCAGAAACCATAATCTACTCAAAACATAAGATGAAGCTAAAAATCAGCTGTTTTGCTGTTCTTTTTGTGGTTTCTTCTCATATCCCATAAATTTTTTTTAATAAAAATCCTCTCTTTCTCTCTCTCTCTATCTAAGGCTCTTACACACACTTCAAGAATGGAGATTTTAATAATTCCAATCAAATAAATCAAATCTTGTGTCTTAGATTTTCTTTCTTTTTGTCCACTGTCTTGCTTTTCATGACTAGCAAACATTTTAGAATAATCAAAATATATTCATCAATTTCTCTCTCCTCCTTCAATATTTATTTCCACAAACCCTAATTGAAAAGAACACAAATTTTTGGAACCCAAATGGATTCAATAATCCCTGAATTTGAAGGTCTCAACAACACCCAACAATTTGGAGTGTCAAATCTTCAAAATTTAGGTATTGGGTCATCTTCATCTTCATCAAACAGCCGCTATGAGAATCAAAAACGGCGAGATTGGAACACATTTTGCCAATACCTTAAAAATCACCGACCGCCATTAGCTCTTTCAAGGTGTAGTGGAGCTCATGTTCTTGAATTCCTTCGCTATTTGGACCAATTTGGTAAGACCAAAGTGCATACTCCGATCTGCCCTTTCTATGGCCATCCTAACCCACCAGCTCCATGTCCTTGCCCTCTACGCCAAGCTTGGGGTAGCCTTGATGCCCTTATTGGCCGCCTTCGAGCTGCCTTTGAAGAGAATGGTGGGATGCCTGAAGCTAACCCTTTTGGTGCTCGTGCTGTTAGGCTTTATCTTCGTGAGGTTCGTGATTTGCAGTCTAAAGCAAGAGGAATTAGCTATGAAAAGAAGAAACGAAAGCGCCCTCAACAACAACGACAACAACAACAGCTCCCTCAACCTTCCAATGGAGCTTAAAAAAAAAGCAAACTTTATAATCATGGAAGCCAATTAGAGGGTACCCTTCTTCTTTAATCATCATTATGCTGCTTTTTTCTATCAATTCTAGGGTTTGAGATGTTTTTGTAAGGTTTTAACGTGTAACCCACTTTATGAATTACAAATTTAATCATCAATCTCATCTCTTTCTTGGAATTTTGAAGTGGGTTTTTCTTAAAAATGTGAAATTCTGACTAATCCCAATTAGAGAAAATTTGGGTGAGATCCCACCCAAATGGTATCAGAGCCAAACACCAGTCGAAGTGTCAGCGAGGAGATTGAGCTCCGAAGGGGTGGACATGAAGCGATGTGCCAGCAAGGACGCTGGGCCTCGAAGGGGGGTGGATTGTGAGATCCCAAATTGGTTGGGAAGAGAACAAAACACCCTTTATAAAGGTGTGTGAACCTCTCTTTAGCATACGAGTAAGGACAATATCTACTAGATGTGGGTTTGAACTGTTACAAATAGTATTAGAACCAGAAACCGGGCAATATGCCAGCCAGGAGTCTGAGTCTGAGCCCTGAAGGATGATGGACAGGAGGCGATGTGCCAATAAGGATATTGGGCTCCGAAAGGGAGTGGATTGTGAGATGCCACATCAGCAGGACACTGGCCTCAAATGGGGTGGATTGTGAGATCCCATATCGGTTGGAGAGGAAAACGAAACACTCTTTATACGAGCTTAGAAAGCCTCTCCCTAAAAGACATGTTTTAAAAACCTTGAAACAAGTTTGAAAGAAAGTAAGAGGTGGATTTGAAGCATTACAATTTCTAAGACAAATTGATATAAGTTTTATGTATTGGTTCATCCATTGTCTTTTGTTTGTGTGTGCTTTCTGTTTGCATTCGAAAAGGCAAAAAACAGGCATCGGATTATATCATAAATTGTATCCTTTTGATGCAAAACAGTGTTGGTGAGAGCAGCAGTGAACTGTTAGTGGGTACTGCAAATTTTACTATCCAACTGATGGAACGTTTACAATGTACTTGGGTTTCAACTTTACAATGCTCATATAAAATCTTACACATCATTTCCAGATTTTGTTTCTTTCTTACTCCACTTTTCTCCACATTATTATTTTCCTCCATTCATGTCTCTTCAACTTCCAAATTCTCAAAATTCAAATGATTTTGTATAAAGAATTCCTTTTCATGTTCAAATATCTTAGAAATAGTGTATATAATCTTCCTAGAAATCATTATAGGCATGTTGAGGTCGGATTTGGTTGGAAAAATCTTTGGGACAAACTCGAAATTTCGAATTGGTTGGGTTAGTAACTCGAGCAACCCGAATAGAGTTCACAACCTAATCCAACCCATCGAAGTTTTTTTTTTTTTTAATCCTTCTTCTTAGAAATCATTACAAAGGTATATACAGGTCGGGTTTGGTTGAAAAATCTTTTGAACAAACTCGAAATTTCAAGTTGGTTGGGTTAATGACCTGAGCAACCCGAATATAGTTCACAACTCAATTCAACCCTCTGTCTTTGGGTTGAGTTATCCGATTTTTTTTTTTTAATCCTACTTCTTAGAAATCATTATAGAGGTATATACAGGTCGGGTTTGGTTGAAAAAATCTTTTGAACAAACTCGAAATTTCAAGTTGGTTACGTTAATGACCTAAACAACTCGAATACAGTTCACAACTCAATTCAATTCTCTATTTTTGGGTTGGGTTCTTGGATTTTTTTTTTTTTTTTTGAATCCTACTTCTTGGAAATCATTACGAAGGTATATACAAGTCGGGTTTAGTTGGAAAAATCTTTTGGACAAACTCAAAATTTCAAGTTGGTTGGGTTAATGACAGGAGAAACCTAAATAGAGTTCACAACTCAATTCAACCCTTTATTTTTGGGTTGGGTTATCGGGATTTTTTTTATAAAATCCTCTTATCCACTATATATGTTACCTTAATAACTAAAATTTCATAAATCTAAAATATCAAACATTTACATGTTATAACCTATAATAAACTTTGATTACATATGTCAAATATTCTTAATCTTCGTAATAATCTTAAAAGTAGGGTTGGGTTGAGTTGTAAATCTATTCTTCAGATTAGTCGAACTCAACTAAACAATTGTCAACCACAAATGGAACTGAATTTTTAGATCTAACTAACTCAATGTTTATGTTTGAATTGTCTAATCATGTGAACACTAGTAAATCATTGTTTGTTGGAAATATATCTATTTTTTCTCAATGATTGAAGGAGATAAAAAAGATTTCTTTTTAATAATAATTTACATTTTTGTCTCGGTTAATTTGAGAAATATTCAGAGATAGATTTTTTTTTTTTTTGTTGGTGCTGTCATGTCATTTGATAATGAAAGTTAGCAATGGAAAAGACAAGTGGTAAAACTGTAATTTTCCATATTGATTTGGGTGATGAGATGGTTGAAAAAAAAAACTTTCACTGTTTTCACTTATTTACTTGTAAAGTTGCAGCTGCAAGTTTCCTTCTTTGTCATGTCAGTGTCTCCCATGTCCTCGAAGATGAAGTGAAGTTTGCTGCAACTTAGAACACTGAAACAAAAAGTAAAGAAGAGGAAGATGAGAGGGGAAAGGGTGAAAAAAGAAGAGTAAAAGTACGAGAGAGATCAAATCGTTAATCTTTTCGAATCGAACATTTAAACATAGAGTTGTTTGTAAGACTCAAGAACTCGATCAATTCGAATTATCAGAAGCAAACGGTAAGTATTAGATTGGGTTTCATTTTTTTTCCAGTTTGGGTTGGATTGAATTTTTAGAAAATTGAAAAAATTAAATCAATTCGTGGGTCGGACATTTTTTTTGTTTGGTCAACCTGACCAACTCGAAAATAGAGTTAGAACGCTACTTTACTTTTACATTTGTAATCGATGTTGGTGATACATTCTGACTTATGAATGTTTGATATTTGAGTTTTAGATATTTTAGCTGTAAATGTAATATGTACCGTAGATAACTAAAAAAATTAATCTGAATCCAACTAAAAAATAAAGAGTTAAGTTATGAACTCTATTTGAGTTGTTCGGGTCACCAACATATCCAACTCAAAATTTCGCGTTGGTCTAAAATATTTCTCCAACCCACCCAAGACGTGTATTCTCTTACCTAAACATAGTTTACTTGGTTGAGACTGCATGCTTCTATTCGAAAAATTAGATGTTCTAAGCCCTACTATTCGTTATAAATGAGAAGGGTCAGTTACGAGTCATTTTCTAATTACTTTAAATTTCAATTTTTTTCGGTATTATTGTAGTTGGCTTTCGAAGAAATTGGCTTCGTTTTTTAAGTTTTTTATTATCAACCTGATTCCTACTTCGATTAGCACCTTTTTTTTCACATTTTTTCAGCTAATCTCTCATTATTTTCACGCATTAAACTCAGAAATAAGTTTATTTGCAAATATGATGGTCAATCATCGTTGAGATCGTAAAAATTGAACATTTTTTTAATTTAAAGATTTAGGATATAAATTTAGAAATTAAAGGTAGGCTGAATAATTTTTAAACTTCAATGAATTTATTAGCATTTAAAAGTTAATGAATTTATTAGGATGATTGAAATGAAGTTAATTAAGATTCATTCAATCACTTCCATCACTTCAAAGTCTTCCATTTTTGTTCTTTAAATTTAAATGGAATGAAATGAATATTAAATATGAAAGAGGGGTCATTAAGGGGATGAGGACCACTCCATTTGGAGGGGTTTGAGGAAAAGGCTCCTCCATTTAGGATCTCTGCACCCTCTATTAATGGGTGGATATCAATACATTCACTGTTCCATTTCATTCATATATATCTCTACTTTTACTTTCTTAGTTTAATTATCTCAACATCTAAGAGGGATACATACATAAATTGATACCATATCTAAATGAGAGCGATCTTGAAAGAAGTTAAAGTCATTAATTATGTCAACAAGGTTTATTTTCATTTTTTCAGTGTCTCAATTATAGAAATTTTATGATGAAATATGTTTTACGTGAAGTAATTCTATGTTGGGTGACCTCTTAGGAATTTTCTTGTGATGCAAGTAAGTGAAGGCAAAACATGTTAGAAGGGCATGTTGAAAGGACTAATGTTGGTCTGTGGGGATAGTTTTCACTCTTAAGAAGCGAGAAGTAGTAATGTGATCATGTCGTAGGAGATGCTGATGTTGTAGGAGATGTAGGGGAATGCCAGGACACATAGGTGTCAATCCTAGGCAAGAAGCGAAGAGGGATGTTTGGGAACACGAGTGCCGAATCTTGGGCAAAGAGGGCAAAGAAATGAGAAGTAGTAATGTGACAATGTCGTAGGAGATGCCAGACTCATGCTGGTTCGTGAGAATAGTTTTCACTCTTAAAAAGTGAGAAGTAGTAATGTGATCATGTCGTAGGAGATGCAAGGGAATGTCAGAGTACGCCGAATCTTAGGCAAAGAAATGAGTACTAATGTGACCATGTCACAAGAGATGCATCAAGGCATATGGGTGCAGAATCGTGCACATGGGTAGTTATGGTTATTTACTTTCTAAAAATGTTTTAAAAATCTACCCTAAATTTTGTTTTTAATATATTTTATTTTAAATTTGGTTAAAAATTGAATGTACAATGAAAAATATATTAAAAAATTGTGAAAAAAATGGCACTTTTGTAATTTATTTAGCAAATGAAATAAATATCTATGTGAACATGAATGTACACCATTGTACTTAAGTACCATATTAATGCATTTTTTGAGAAAAAAAAATTGGAAGTTTCATCAAAATCTTTGCTTTTTGATAAGACAGTTGAGCTTATAAGAATAGGATTATAAAACGAGTTATGATTAATGCATAAAACATTAGATTTTAAGGATAGTTAAGTTGGTAGGAGACTACTCATTGTGATAAGAAAGGAGTGATTGAATAGTTGAATGGGATGCTTCTTCACATATCACATGTCTATAGCAACCATATCACATGCCAATTTCCACCTTGAAATGATTGATCAAAACCCTTTTTTTTTTGTCGCTCCGCTTAAATTAACAACTCAATCACAGTTTTAATCGAGTATTTCTGTAACAGTCTAAGCCTACCGCTAGTTGATATTATCTGTTTTGGGTCGTTACATATCGCCGTCTCACAATTTTAAATTGCATCTGCTAGAGAGAGGTTTCTACCGCCCTTATAAGTAGTGTTTCGTTCCCCTCTCCAACCGATATGGGATCTCACAATCCAAATCCTTGGGGATCATTGTCTATTTTGGCCTGTTACGTATTGTTATTAGTCTCACGGTTTTAAAACGTGTTTGCTAGGAAAAAGTTCCCACACTCCTTACAAGGGGTGATTCGTTCCTCTCCTCAACCGATATGGAATCTCACAATCCACACTCTTGGAGACCCAACATCCTTGCTGACACATCGCCCCGTGTCTAGCTCTAATACCAATTGTAACAGCCCAAATCCACCTCTAGTAGATATTGTCCACTTTGACCCTTTACGTATCGTCATTGACCTCACGATTTTAAAATGAGTTTGCAGAGAAAAGTTTCTACACTCCTTAATAGTAGTGATTCGTTTCTCTCTCTCTAACCTAGGTTCCACAATTTCTAAATTTTCCTCTTTTCTTACCTTTTAATCTCAATTTCTTGTCTTTTTTAGAAACATTATATTAGTGAACTAGTATGTATGAAGGCATATCTAATTTCATAATCTAACTTAGTAGGTTTAAAACTCAAAATCGATTATTCAACCAAAAATCGATCCCCCTCATCCAAGTTGATTTGAAGTAAGAAGGGGTCATGAGGTTTCATGATAATATCTGTTAGCGGTGTGATTGAGATGTTATAATTGTATTAGAGCCAGACACCGTACGGTGTACCATCGAAGATACTAGGCCCACCTCTAATAGACTATATTATTTTTTAAAAAATAAAATTATATGGTTTTTCCAAATTCTATGATTTTAGTCACTAAATTTCAATTCCATTTGAAAGTAATGGACAAGATGGCTTGCTTCCATTGAATAATAATGGCTTCCAAGGATGGATCACCATCAATAACAGTGCCATCTTTTTGGCTAATAGTCACCAAT